TAGGCTGGTCGCGTTGGGAAGTCCGTAGGAGGGAAGAGCTGGTTCTCGCACGTCCCCATGCTGGTCGCAACTTCGAGGCCCAAGGGCGCCAAGGCAAACCAGCCTTGGCTGCTTGTACAGTGTGTCACTTGGACTTCAGACATCAGAAACGACCTAAACTCAAAACTAGAAAGAATACAGAATCGTCGTAAATTTTGAAGAAGCAGCCCAGGAAGGCAAGGAAGAACGATATTGTACTGGCCCAGAAAGCCCGCATGTGAGGATTCTGCTGCACGGTGCCGCATACCCTCAATAGCGGGAGCTCCGTGGCCTTCTTGGTGGAATCCACTGCCAGCTTGTACTCCATGGTTTCTACAAAGCGGGATATAACACTCTCTGTCTTGGAGGCTATTGCTCGAGCACCAAAAACTGCTAAGCTCATGTCGCCATCGGCAAGTTGCATCACCCTGTCAGAGGACTCTTTCAAGCAACGACCTACATCTATCTGCGCATCTGACTCATATCTCTTCTACAAGCAGCGGATTCTAGCACTCAGTTGGAACATGTAGCGGCATCCAACCTTGGACACCACCGCCAGACGCGGGTGGATGCAAACGTTTCGAAGTCGAAGCTGGGCGATCGAAAAGCAGCTTGCGTGAAACACAACGGGTCAATGCTGGAATGCGGCAGTGCTTGTGACAAGGAATTTTGGGCCTAAGGTTTTGGGACTTTTGTTGGGGCGCTTTCTTGCACTCGGCTTGCTTGAAACAGGAGTTCCTATGAAGAACCTTCGCTTCATTGCGCACTCCTTGCAATAGTCTTGCACAGGTCATACGGCTCTCTCTTGCATGTATCTGGTTGGTTTCGGTGGTTATCCTCGCACGGAACCCAACACTCACTCAATGCCTCCTCTCACCGGAAAAGCCGCCATGTTAGAGGGGGCATGACTTTGGCACCCTGGGCCATATCTGAGGCTGCTCTCGCACACGTCTGTGAGAGCCTCACTTCTGACGGAATGCAGCATCAATCGCGGCCGGACTTAGTTGTGAACTTTTTCTTTGTTAGATTTAACTTTCCAGCTTTTTCAGCAAAATGACTCTGAGTTGTAATATTTTGCGGCTCCCATAACAGCAACTCTCCGCAGAGGGTTGCAAAACAAACATCTTTCTTATAACTTTTTTGGTTGTCTTTAGCACCAAGCCACTAACTTTTTCGGGTGTACTAACTTCTGCGGTGTAATTAGCACCACACCACAATTCTTTGTGCTGTATTTTTGCACCAAACCAGAACCGTCACAGAAGATTAATTTAGGGTTTTCGTCCTGGGTAAGGGGTTCTCGCTGGATTCACTCCCGAGGGTTTTCGTGTTGGGCAAAAGGTTCTCGCTGGATTCACTCCTTAGGGCTTTCGTCTCGGGTAACAGGTTCCTGCTGGATTCCTTGGGGTTTTCGTCTTTGGTAAAGGGTTCATGTTGGATTCACTCCTTGGGCCTTTCGTCTTCGGTCAAGGCTTCCTGCTGGATTCACTCCTCAGGGTTTTGGTGTTTTCCACTGGTTCCTGCTGGATTCACTCCTTAAGTGCACTCCTTAGGGTTTTCGTCTCGCGAAACGGGTTCTCGCTGGATTCACTCCATGCGGTTTTCGTGTTGGGGAAAAGGTTCCTGTTGGATTCACTCGTCAGGGTTTCGTCTTTTCGAAAGGTTCCTGCTGGATTCACTCCTTAGGGTGCTCGTCTTCGGTGAAAGTTGTGTGCTGGATTCACTCCTTGGGGTGTTCGTTTTGGGTAAAAGGTTATCGCTGGATTCACTCCTTAGGGTAGTGGGGGTAGGTGGGGGGTTGGGTAGGTGGGGCAGGTGGGATAGTGGTGGTAGGCGGGGTAGGTGGGGTAGGTGGGATGGGTGGGGTAGGTAGGACAAAGTTACGTCCGAAAGGGAAAACATGCATCTAAGAGAAACAAACTACCACTTAGCCTGCTACCATCGCGTCGCGGCCTCTTACATGTTGTGAAGCTGCATGCCTTTTGTGTTTCGCTGTTGACGAAACATGCTTAAGCTGCTGCTGCTTGATCTGAGCTGGGTTCCCCTTTGGTTGCCTGTTCCTCGTTCCGCGCCAAAAACGGTACTAACAACAACTGCAGGCTTGTGAACCCATAACTCCATAACCATGCCCAGTACGCGGCACATCCCAGGCTGGCGCAAAGCTCAGGCTCAGGCGATGAGCTTCTTGAGGCTCCGAATATCTGCAGCGGCTTTGCGTGCTTCGGGTTTAGAGCTCATGGCTTGCAGGCCCTGCTCTTTGCTCAGACCGGTCCAAAGCGAAGGACACTGCATGTGGGGTAACGAGTTACACTCATGAAAAAGCTGTGCCACCCCCTCTTTCTTCCCCACACACCTCTAGGACTCCAAAATTCTAAAAGCTTCCAAGATCCCCCAACCCGGAAAGTCGCGAGAATCCCCAACCCGGAAACGCGCCCATCAGGAACGAAACAAACTCAAAGCATCGAAAGACCTTGCTGCGGCTCTTTCTCCCAAAATGCCTCTGGCCATCTGCGTGTTCTTGAGAGACAGGATCCGACGGTACCACCGCACCTCGTGACGGCGCAGCGTCTTTTGGGAGGGCCCTGGGCCCCAGCAGCGTCTGCGGTGCTTCGCTCAGGCCTGGAGTGGAGACATTGGCAGCCAGACGTCGTGGAAAATCTTGGGCGGCAGCGACAGCACCTTGCATACAACGAGACGCCTCCATGACTCGAGATTGCAGTTACTCGCCATCACGCAGCCTCCTCCTTCTTGCGCCGCTTCATGCTGAAAGCCTCGAGATGTCCGCTGTCTGGGCGGCTTCGAGTTTGGGGCTTCCCTTTTTGGGGGCCGCGGAGTTCTCAGAGCTGCCTCTCTGCTCACCTTCAGAACCGAATCTCCTCACCAGGGCGTCGGCCAGCAGCCCGCGGATCTTCTCGACCTTCGAATCTTGTCTCTTCGGCTCCGGGCTTCGGGCGCTTTGGGCGCTTCGGGCTGCTTTAACCTCTTTTTGTTGCCGTCGCCGGGGCCCCGGGCCATGACCTGGTTGATGCAAGCCTTCTCGGCCTTCGAGCCAAGCACGCGAGGTATTAGGGCAGGGCCCTGGAGTTCGTGTGGGCACTCAAGGGGTTGATGCCTGCCTCGCACTTCCGATGCTCGCCCTTCTACCCACAAGGCCGCGCGCACGCGCCCACACACTTTATTTTTTTCTTAGGGGTTGTCGTGCGACCCTCAAACCGTTGGCCCACCCAACCACCCCCCTGTGTTCTGGAGTGGCCGGCGTTGGACACTGACAGCCTTGAAACTCAAAACTGTAAAACTGGGTCCCCATTCCAGAACCCTCATCGCCCCAGGTGAATGCTTGCCAGTGCCAGCGAAACCCTAAGCGCCTTCTGCGCCAGCTCGGGCAGCTGGATGGCGTTCTCAAACATCTGCGGAGCACTTTGGCTTTTTGGGTTGCAGGAGGCCGAAACTTTGTCGGCTTCACAGCTTGGGTTGCATGATTTTGCTGGTGGTTTCGTGATCCGTCAACACAGGCTTCACAGCAGAGGCTGGGGTGGTGGCAGAAGCCCCGAATCGGAACATCGTACCCCAAATAATCCGAGACGGTCCCCCCACTCGAGCGTGAAGTTGAATCTCTCCTGGGGAATGAGTGAAGTTAGCACGGCTTAGGAGACCCATGCTCCGTCGCCTCGGACTGCTTCGCCAGCACGTCCGGCCAAAGGAACTTCAGCAGAGCGTGGAGCTCTTTCAAGTTGTTCTGCCCAGGGCTTCGGGTGCTCTTTTCCGGACCCGCACTCTGAACCCTGCTAAACCTTGGAAGAAGCAAGGGCTTCAGGTGAAACGAGAGGCCTACCGGACGAGGTTGACATCTTCGAGTCGAGCGAAGGACCGATGATCGGGGCCAGGCAGCGGGACTTTGGGGCTGTGGGACACTTTGCCTTCAGACTCTTCGCTTAAGTTGCCGAAAAAAGCCTCCAACAGTCTGCAAACTCCATGGCCTGGAGCGGCGTGCCGGTCAGCAGAATTCGGCACGCGCTGTGAGTCTCTTCCAAGGCCTGGAACAAGGAACAGAACAATCTTGAAAAGAAAGACTTACAGTTGCATAATTCGCTTTGGGGTTCGAGGACCCGCACAGTAAATTGGGAAGCACTTGAGAAGATGAAGGGCTTTCTCACTTCAACGGCCTTCGGCCTCAATTTTATGTTGGGATCATTGCATATCACTTAGGGTTTCTACATGCAGGCCTGCGATCTGCGAGACCTCCCCCAACCTCCAGTCATGCACAACTGTATGCAACGCCACGCCGTGGCAATGAAAGCCCTGACCCTGAACCCCACCGCTTGGCTGAACATGGAAACAATCGGGCTCGCCTTCTGAACCTTGCTTGCCGAGGCCCTTGCCTCCCGGATTCGGCTCGCAGAGTTCTTTGCACGATGCGCCTGGCGTGGGGTAAGCAAATGGGTCCAAGCACCAAAGAATGCGGCAGGTATGTTGGCTTCGGCGTGCTTGTGTAGCTGCTCGCGAGTGAAGCGAAGAAATTTCGATGTGGAAGAAGAATAAGGCTTTGATATTCAAAAAAGCCGAGGGAGTCAGGTGGCAAGAAATAACAAAGCACACTCTTTACATCGTGCAGCAGGCGTGCCTCGTCCAAGATGACGGCCTTCCAGAACATCCGCCCGAAGTAGTTCTGCGGAGTGTTCCAGCCAAGAAAGCTGTTGGACAGAGCGTATGCACCCCCGCATGCGTGCACCTTAGAAAACACGCGTGCGCCTTAGAACAACGTGCACGTGCCCCTTAGAGCAATCCACGCGTGAACCTTAGACGTGGCGCCCTCAACGACCCCCGCTCCCAGGAGAATCCACGGGTTTCCTCTCCCTATCTTTCACATGCCCGACAACCTACATCCAGACAGCTGCGACTGCACAGCTCTGAAGCTTAAAGCTCTGACCTCCGGAACCCTGCTTCTCCGTCCTCGATATTTGCCGCTGTCTCGTAGGTCGTAACGATGATGTCCTTGGGGTGTCTCGAAGCCACGATGCAAAGAAAACGAGTTTGCAAAGAGTTCGACAGCGCCAGCCTACGCCTCAGCAACCCAATCGGGACCGAGGCCGGTGCCTTCATCCCGAACCAGATCTCGTTGTCGTCCAAACTCAGGGACTTCTCTTTCACGTTGCCGCAAACCTCCCGGCCGCGTGCTTCGGCTCTGTTCAAGCAAAGCCTTGGGACCGCATGAAAAGAAGGCGGAGAGTCAAAAACCCACAGCTCAAGTCTCCAAGAAGCGCAGACAAGGCCACGAGGTGGGTCAGCCACGATCAGTCTTCCACTTTGCTACGGTATCCTGGTGTTGACTCCGCCGAAGAACCAGCCTTTGCAATCGAGAGGTGCGGGACGAACTTCCTCGCCTTCGCGCGGGGCCGGTTACGCAACTCCCAGAACCTGAGCCTGGAGGCCCTAGAGCTTGGACGAATCCTCTCTGCCCTCTGCCCTCCGCCGCCTCGCGCAGCCAATTCCCAGCGCAGCTCAAAGGCACGACCACCAGGGCCGGCCCCGGAACGCGCTCCTTCACCTACGACACGGGCTCCGGGCTCTGGCAGAGACTGGAGCTTCGGGCTGTGCACTGGCTGTGTTGTGGATCTGAGAATCTGAGAGTTGAAGCTCCGATCAATAAGAGCCGTGGCCACCTTGAGATAGCTCAGGAAGCACAAAGTCATCAGCGTCTTCCTGACAAGCTCGACTGGCCAAAAGAGCTCTTTGGAAGCGAGGGGGCGTGTGCTTCAGTCGGAAGCGGTGCCGCTGAGCCCGGTGCCCGAGGCCCATGTCGTCGGCGAGGATGCCACCACAGCGGTCAAAAAAGCCTCGCGACGCCGCTTGGAGGTTTCGAGATAGGAAGGAGGAACCCAGAAGCCGGGAGCTAGAGGGGCGGCTGCACACGGGATTGAGGCGAATCTCTGAGGAAAACGAAGCACCTAAAAACCTCTTCAAAGAACGGCCTCCTACACTGAACTTCAAAAAAAACACCAGCAAACTGCTTCCGAAGTTCCCTGCCTTGGATCATCCAGCCGACGCCCTCCGCTTGGTATTTCTGGCACAAGGCAGCGTCTTCAACAACGAACGGAGTTCAGAGCGACTCTCCGGGAGCCGGGACAGAAAGCACGGCGAAATGGGAAAAAGGACAAAAGGACTCCAACAAAAGGCCTTCTGAGAAAAAACCAAACGTCGGCTCTTCGCTCTACAACCCGACTTCCCCTGCCTTGAGGTGGATGCCCTCCGCGAGCACGTCCTTGTACATCTCGGGCGTGTGGCCTGGACTTGAGAGTTGCTTTCGGCTTCGGTTGAAAAGCAATGTGGCGAAAAAACAGGAACAGCCCTGGGTCCAGTTCCAGGGACGAAACGAAGGAGATCACCAAGCAGCTCTTTTTGTTCCGGAAGCACTCTCAATGAAGCTTGTAGAAGAAAAACGTCCCAGGACACCTTTGTGTCGAGTACTGACTACTGTTAAAGCAAGTTATCTTAGCTGCAGCCATGTCGCTTTGTGGGTCCAAGGTCCGAACGTCTGGCCCCTCGGAGCAAGCAAGAGGTCGTCTGCGCATGTACATCTCTCTAAAACTACCCTGTATCATTGTGCTCCATATCGGCATATTTCATTCTTTGGCATGCATCCTTGCTGCCAGACGATTTCTGGATCGCAAGACCACTCTGGGAACTGTCCAAGCTGTCAAACACAAGCCTTTGACGACCTCATACCCCTCAACCCGGGATGAAAAAAACAACAACAGCAAGCACAAACATACAGAACCCCGGTACACCTGTTTGCTGCTTTGCACAAACTGACAAAGAAGGCCTGAGACTGAGGCGGCTGAGACAGACCCATCACTGTCATCATCCACAATCTGCGCAGGGATCCACACACTCAAAGCTGCAAACCCGAGCCCCACGTGCCCATGCCCACTGAAATGAGCCAATGCCTACCGACAGCTTGAACTTGAACCGCGACAACCTGCAGACCAGACTCCCTCAAGAGAGAGTGCGGCGGCATGGCCTGTGGCATCCGTAATCTCGAGGTCTTTGCCTGGTGCCGGAGGAGAGGAGCCCTTCAGCGGTTCAGGCTGGTGCGGTCTTCGGGTGGAACAGAGGGGACTGCGATTCATGCAGCTGCTCCTGAAGAGAGAGGTGGGTCGCAAAACGATCGCAGTCCATTCTTTCACTGTCGCACACTCGCGATCCAGTCCTCACAAAAGGATAATTTGCCTGCTGAAGGCTACCCTGCTGTGCTTGTGCGCAGATTGGGCAGGACAGGTTCGCATGAAGACCTCTGCATGCATTGGCCCACAGATCCTGCACTTACACTACACCATGCACCATCACCGCGGCTTCACATCCACATACTAAGTATCAGGACCACAACGTAGGGCCATCATGCGGTGCTGTACATCTCTCAAGCCAAACTGCATCAGGCGACACTATAACATGGGTGCCATGCGCACCTCAGGGTGCAGCCACCTGGCCGGACTGGGAGGCCTGCTCCAATCCATCTGCCACCAAGTAGAGGAGCTTCTGCCTCTCCGCACGACTCTCGAACTTCATTGGTAGGCCGTGGCCAGGGAACCAGTACCTGTAAAATGGGGCGTTGTCAGCAAACCGACGTAGGGACAATGATTGTGCCTTGCAGCTGAATCGTGCCATCTCGGGAAAGCCGGTGAGCTTCCCCTCCCACACGCCTGCAGAATCGCCTCCGAATGATGTGCTCAGACTGCTCGAGCTCACTATCAAGGAGCCTTCTGTGTGCCCTGGGGCGGCATGGATCTGAAAATCGCCCACTTGCCAAGGTCCACTGCCAACCAATCTCTCGACGTCACCTTTGATCGCGTCGGAATCGTGAGCGACAATTCGCACGGCCTCGAAGCTGTTGCGCCAATTGTCCACCTCTGCCACTCCCAGGAAATCGCTGTGCGTGAAGATGATCAGCAATGGCATGCCTGATGCCACTCTCTTGATCCTCTTTGCCAAGTCCAAGGAGTGGTATGGTACGTCAATGAGAGCCACTCCTCCGCGCTCATCGTGGACAAGGAAACCCCAAGGGATGCGCAGGTCTGCATCCAGGCACTGGATTCTCTGCGCAAGGCTCTGGGAGACGTGGGAGGTGTCCACCTGCCGCATTCCCATGCCCTGAGGCACATAATAGCCTAGCGAACCACTCGCCGTGTCCCAGGTGCCACCAGGGATGGCGTAGATTCGTGGAACGGCAGTCTTCATAAAGCCTGCACGCTGGAACCTGTCCATGGGGCTGGCAGAAGGTGCAAGGGCTGGTGCTTGCGCATGAGTGAAGTAGACGAAGTAGATCGCAGCAGCAATTGCTGCAAGCCTGTTGCAGGTACGTACATTCCACTCCATGATGCGCCCGGCCAGGTGCACGCTAGCAAGTCCAAGCACAATTCACACTCGAGCAGACACAACAATCACGGCATCCTCGCGACCAGAGGCCAACAGATCCAGCTGCAGCAGAAGTTGTGAGAACCGGCAGGGGGACTCAACCCTAAGCCCTAAACTCTTTTGGAATTGGTTTCTGGACGGGTAGTCCATGGCCAGGATCTACCTTCAGAGAAGGCTCAGGGGCATCGATCTGTCGCATGACGCTGGAGCCTCGGAGTTCTGAATTCGCCGGAGCGCCGGCCTCCGCAGTTCGGAAGGTCTCGGGGCAAGTTCCGCGCAGTTCGCCCCAAGATGCTAGAGTCCGATCCAAAGCGAAAGCCGAGTGCCACGCCTTGAAGCGAAGGGCGCGACATCGTCAATCGCCTGGAGGGTGTCATGTTGGGTATCAGGGAGAGAAAACCCTAATCACAAATAACCCTTGCGAGAAGTCTCAACGATCTGCAACGATGGTCCTCAAACACTGATCCAGGATCTCTCTCAGACCCTGATTCGCGGTGGCAGCAAAAGCAATGCATCTGGTTTAGCTGCCAGAGCTTATGCAACTTGTGCTCAGCAACAGGAACGTCATCCAATTTTGACAACTGCTCGCAGGAGGTACGAGTACCAAGAATCAGCACCAGCCCAGACTCTCCTGAACATGACGTTGGATCTGGTGAAACCTTTGGCCCTGGAATGCAACATGGCAGACTGTGAGTCAAGCTGCTGGCAAATTCACAATTTCGCGATACATCTATCCAGCCCCGCAGCTTGTTCCGCGTTTGCTGGTCAAGCGTCTCTCGATCTCAAAGAAATCTTAGGGTTGGTATCGTTGGTCTTGAGCCCTCTGATTGTGAACACTGTCTCCCATTCGCTGAGCATCTGTTTCAACCATTTCCAGCCCGCGGCATTCCGGAACCTGGAGGGGACAGTGAGTCTTCTTGCTCGAACTTGCTCTGTGAGTGTAGAAAAGTATGTCTCTGCGCGCTGCTGCAAAATGGCTTGCAACTGTTGGAGGAATTCTTTGTCCTCTGTAGATGCAAACGCAAAAGGGCCGTCATCTTCATCCTCCACTTCGATCGGGGTCATCTGCTGAATGTCAGCATCCATCCCTTGAATGCCAGCATCAAGAACGGAGAGGACGGTCTGATTGCCAGGTGGGACGTGGACCGTTTTCAAGATAGATTCCAGGAGCTTAGAGAAGTCATCCAAGAATCGCCGAGTAGCATTGCCGAGTCTACTTTCCACTTGCTGGCCAGCTTCCTCACTTCCAGCAAGTGACGGTGTTGAAAGCCGGCTCTTGTAAACGTCCAACTGCCCATTGACGGGCAAACCCTTGATGCTGCCACGAACTGCCAATGCAAATTGAATCAGCTGGCTGCCAAGCAAAGCGGCCTGAGGATCACTGCTGTGGTTCTTTCCCCATTTCTGTGCTTCCACTTCAGCCACAACAAGGCGCAATGCAGAAAGGACTTTGCGCTCCTCCTCAGACAAGTTCTCTGCACTCCCGGACACGTAGCTCTGCACAATGCGCCGCACGGTCTCGTCGTCGACGCGCGGCTCAGCACCCGCTTCTGTTCCAGGAGGGCGTAGCACCACCTGGAACTCGCTTCATGCTGAAATCAAGCGTCCCTCTACAAGAACAGACGCTGGGCATACCTTGCCAGCAAACAAAAAGGAAAGTGAAATCAAAGGACTTTCAAGAGGTGTAGGCATCTTGCATAGCAGAGAAACGGAGAGCGAAATCAAAAGACTCTCAAGAGTTGTAGGCGTCTTATTGGGAATACAGGCCTGAACATACTCCTGATCCTGCTGCTCCATCTTAAAGACGTAAAAGGAAGACAAAGACAGTGCCAAGAGTGCGAACAAACTGTGCCAACTGTGCCATGCTCTACTACTTTGCTAGTGGATGATGCAAAACTCTCCCATCAATATGTCCGCAGTCGCCTGTGTCTTGTGCACCGTGTACACCTTCTCGTGCTTGCGCAGGAGCCTGTTCTTCTCCACATCCACCCACTGCCTTTGAATTCTGTTCAGGTGTATTTTGAAAGATTTCTCCATCTCTTCCAGTATCGCTGACAGTAGATGATCAACGCCACAAAAGCACACTCCCTGCGTGGCAAAATAAGGGCAATGGTAGGAATCCCAGGCTTTATGAAACTTGCACCCGGCGGCGTTGATGACAAACTTGGCTTGCTGCAGTGTGGAACCTCTTGTGCTTGGAAGTGCTACGAACGGAACTTCAAGGTCCTCGCGGCACACCAAACTGAACTGGTCCTCCATCAGATCTGCAGGTCGCAGCAGAAATTGCAACTTGAATGGGTAAGTCCAGCCTTCCATTCTCACTAATTCTGACAATGGCAAGTTTCTGAAGGCGTAGCGGGCAGACTTCCTCGACTGCTGAAAACTCACCCGCTCGGTTCCACCAGGGAAATCCCTCCCAACCAGTTCACTGCCATTGCCGATGAAAGAACGGCTAGCAGGACCATCTGCACATACATTGGAAACAAGCAGCTTGGTAGCAGTTCCCTCAGTCAACAGCCTGAACGTGATATCATTCCCAGGGTCTGAATCATACGCAACTTCGTATGAGACTTGGGTTCGTAAGGCCTCTTGACAAATTACCACTGCGTAGTGGTATTTATCTGTGAAAGGAAGTCTTTCGGCAGATTGAGCCAGCTCGTCTTGTTGCATCTTCCAATACTCTTCAGGCGTCTTGAAATCGCTCGCTCTTCGCAGGACTTCAAACAGCTCCCTCGGAAGATTGATTGCCCGCTTCTTGAGCTTCTGAGTGACGATCTTGTGACCCTTGTAATCAGTCTCCAGGATCGGAAACACATTTGGAAAGCGAGCTGCACACACATCAGCCAACAGCTGGGCGTGAGTTGAAAGAATTTGGTGAGTCTGCGTTGCATACAGAAAGAAAGCGCGGGCTTCCAACGAATGACGATCCTCCAAGGCATCATAAAGCAACTCGGCGACATGTCGGTTGTTCTCAGAAAGCGCACTAATCCAAATCGAGACCGTCTGAGAAGATCTAGTGGCCTCCGACAGAAATCCAATGCGATCGCGACTTTGGCCAGGATTTTGAGTCACTATGTTCAATCCCTGTCGGTTTCCGACTACACCCTCGCGGTCTTGATGCTGCAGTACCCTCATCTCCCGCACGTACATGCAACCTCGAAATTTCTCACATAATAGAATGTCACCGGCTCTGTTTGAAATCACCTCGTAAGGAGGGCAAAGGAACAAAAACTGTGCCTCTTCAAACGCCTGCCGTTGGAGTCCAGTGACTTTAATACGAGTATCTCGGCAACAATCAAATCCAATCAGATTTTGATTGCACGCTCTTGTTGTCACTCGTAGTGCTTCCTTTCCATGTACCTTGGCTACTTCACTTGGGAAAGACCAATCAAAGCTCCAAACGTGGCCACTGGAGAAGATCTTGAAGTCAACGCCAGGGTCTCGTGATAAAACACACACAGCCGATTGCAAGCCATCTCCAAATTGACCACGACGCTTTCCCTGCTCCTTGTCCTTTCCAGCCCAACCATCCCACAACATTTCAACAAACATGCTGTCGGAGAAGTTGGTCAATGTCAGTGACAGGGATGAAGCCTCTTCCCTCACTTCTATGGTGCCAAGCAATGTGCACTCATCGTTTGTACCTTCACAGAGCACGGCGTGGTATGTTGAGATGGCCATTTGCGAACGATCTCTTTTGCAGGAGTGCGTGACTTTCACATCAAGACTGCTGTGCCCAGAACGTTCGCAACCGGCATCAATCTCATCCTTCCAATTCTGGACAAGCTCTGCTACTGCGGCATTCTGCGTCCACTGGTGACATCTACCCTTTGTGTAGGGTAAGGTGACAACATCGGCTTTCACATTCGCACCTGGTGTTTGGTTTGGCCGTGGCACTGGCCGTTGCGACGCTCCGAGGTCGGGAGAGAGATTGTCCCATCTACCCATGACAGGTCGCAACACAACATTGCTCACTGCCTGGTCATGCAGCATCCAAGAGGACAGGTTTCCTGCCCAAAGCGATCTGCTTGCTGCAAGAGCTGGCATTCTGGCTGACAAGAAGCAGCGCTGTTGCGCAACATCACTCAGCGTCAGTGCAAAACGCACCAAGGAGCTCGACTTCTCCAAGTACATATGACACCGGCGCGGCCCATCCAATCTCCAACTTGGGACATCTTGATGCCCAGGTTCACGAGCGTAGTCTCCGTTGAACTCGGCATCTTCTCCAGCGAGCCCTGTCAGTCGCAAGCGAACCGGCCACTCGGAGATACCGCTGCAGGAACTTCCAGGTGGAACTAGCGCCATGTCTGGCCGTGCTGCATTTCGCACACCTCAACATGCACTCTCTACCCTTCTACTCAATTGCAAAGGCGGCAGGAGCACGACTGCACAGAGAACTTGCAGGAGGATTCCAAGACGCCTCTAGGAGTCGACAGCGACGCCTCTCGAGGACCCAGGCCTTGAGGAAAGTTCGGTCTCGGTTGCGCACACTCGCCGAAGCAATCCTCACGCTCACACTCCCATGCTCCCTCACCACAGCGGACCGGGAGCATCCCTGCCTTCATGGGGCAGGAAAGCCTGTAGACCTAGACTTCTCATGCCACAGTCCTACCTAAAGCGGTGTCGATCACGAAGCCCCCTGCCACAGCGGTCCTCTTACATTCGCGCTGATGCTTCATCATCATTTCCTTGGTTTGTAGCTGGGAACCACTGTGACTACGATTTGAAGCACCGTCGAAGCTGCTGTTTCTCAGTGCGGCTTTCACATCAATACTTTGTTGTACTTTACTATGTTGCTATAGAACCGTGGGTCGTCATAGATGAAGGGCTTCGTCGCTTCATCACTGGGTGGGCCTTAAAGATGTCAGGCTGGGTGAGTGCTTACTCTGACTCCAATGGCGAGACCTCCTCAGCCCTGAAGCCGAGCGAGCCCCTCTTGAGAAGGGAATCAAGCACCAACGACGTGTACTCCTGAAGCTTCGAGTGTTTTGGGTCCAAGACTTGGTGGCGCCCCCCTAACTGGGCCAGTACATAGGTTGGAATACCAAGGCGCGACCAACACACCTGCCCAAATCTTGGCCTGCGATCCTCCAACCCCCAAATAGAAACCCACCCTGCTGCTCCGACACGATCTCCCTTTTTTCGGGGCTATCTGCGGCCAGCCACGGCGAGGGTAAAGATTGAAACTCGTGGCTAAGTGAGATCTTTGCCTCTCGGGTCTCAGGGCTCAAGCCATGATCCCCCGCTGCGCGGGAAGGAACTGCGGCCTGGGACTTTCGCAAACTGCTATCTCAAAAACTCGCTAGAGGTTGAGGCGAGAAGTGGGCACGCTGACCGGATGCTAACTGATTGCTTTGGGATCTCCGATCTCTGAATATCCAGGTTTCAGTCTTCGAGCAAAGCATATATCCCTTTTACGGTTTAGGCTTTAAGCTGCCCGGGCCCCGCACGGCACCCGCGGCACTGGCGAGGCACTCCGGGCAGAAACCTGGCCGAAACGATGAGTTCGGAAAAGGAGGCGCAAAGTGGTTGAACCCGTTTTGGCCGCTTCGCCTGACGCCCGGAGTCCCGTCACTGCCTTCCTAACACTTCGACGAAATCCCTCCGACAAACTCCGAGCCCATCCTGCCTGGGGGAAGCGGCTCGCCTGATCGAGCTTCATGAGGCCTCGCTTTTAAGTGGCGCTTCGCAAGAACTCCGAGAGAGGTTGGAGCGAGGGAAATGTGGCGGCAAAGACCTGCGTTCCAGCCAAGCCAAACAAACGAAGCAGAGCGCAGCATCTGCAAACCCCATCATGACCCCATCCTGCAGCTTCCTGTAAGCCCGAGTGGCTCAGGAGCTCCTTGTGCCGCGAGGCAGCACTGCCCCCCAAAGACAGGGCACAGCCTCAGTCCCGACCAGGGCATACAAGCACTGGAAGCCCGCACTTCCCCGTTGAAGCCAAAGGGGCTCTCCATGTCATCTCTGGCGTCTTGCAAGCTTCGCGGCTTCATGTCCTCTCAATGCAGCGGTTCAGGGCTCGAGGATTCCAGGATTCTTCGCTCCTGCACCAAGCCGGAGGCCATGAAGAGCGGGCCGAGCCTGGGTCGAGCGAGGCTCGAAAGGGCTAAGCCTTCTTAGAGGCCCTCTTAAAGGCCAAGCGCATCGGGGCGCTTTGGGGCTTCCTGAGCCCAGGCACACGGAATCCAGGACGACGCGGAGCTCACAGAGGAAGAGTGCCTCGTTGTCCTCGGAGCACGCAAAGGCACCAGACGCGCTACGAGTAGTGTGCGATGGAACTACGGAGTCTTTTTCCAAAGTCTAGGACGACCCCAAAAGCTCAAGAGGGCAAGCTTGGCCTTGACGGTCAAACAAACAAGGAGGCATTACCTGCATTCCCTCTCCAAGTCTTAAGCAAAACCAAACCCCAGAGCAAAACCCAACACCGCTGTCATATCTGCGAATTGCAAAAAGCGGCATGGGGTTTGTCTGCGACATGCTGGAGCCGACGCTGGTTTTGCGGGAGCCTCGTCCAGACTGCTGAGGAGTTTGGAGATATCGGTTTTGAAGATTCGGAGCTGCGAGTTCAAGAAATCGAACAACTCGCAACCCGAAATCCGGAACTCCAACCTGTTTCTTACGAGCTGGCGCAAGTCCAAAGCGATGAACCGATTGTGAGCGTGGGTCACGCGACCCTGTTGAAGCGAAGAGGATTGAGAGGAGAGGAACAGGCGTGGAGCAGGAGCATGAGCTGAAACAGGCGGAGAAAAGGCAAGAGGGTCTAAATCAGAACTGTTTCGTTCTCATTGCTCACACTGGTGACCTTGTCCTTGCCCTTGTCATCGTTGTCGTCATCATTCGTTGTTGCTGTCACTGCCAGTGCTGACCCGTGCCGATATTTTTTTGCTGATGTTGCGTAGGCTCCTGAAGATGCTCATAACAATGATGATGATGATGATGATGGCGATGGCGACGATGACGAAGTCATGCATACGTATGATCATGATCCTGAGTCCAATTTCCACTCCGCTAGTGTTGCGGGCACGTGAAGTCTAGTCCCTAGTCGGCCGCCTCCTTTCTCCTTCTTCCCGTCCTATACTCCCACCACTGCTGCTTCTCCTGCTATTCCACTACTCCCAATACTCCTACCATTTCTACTCCTGCTGCTCCTGCTTCCTCTGCAGGACCGATACTGCTGCTGCGGTAGCTAAGTGGTATACCCATAGTACTTCTACTCGAAAATTTCGAAAATCTATGGACCAAAATGGTCGATGTTGTCGTTGTTTCACGGCTTGGGGCGCTGCATGTATGCAAGTTGTTATGGTCACGGGCAGTTGGGAGGAGGCAGCTGGGAGTTCCAGGCGTTGAACCATTCTCGCAGAGTTTGGGTTTCGCGAGCCAGAAACTCGAAACTTCAAAATTTCTGAAGCGTATGCCTCCGAACGCTTGAAGACGCCGCCTACTCTCCGGCCTTAACAGCCACGCCAGCTTGGTTTGGATCTTCTCCAGCTCCTTTTGCGATGTCACGGAGCTCAGCTCTCTGCGATCGCAGACGTCTGCGTTCTCAAGGCCGGCAGCAAATGGAAGGTGACACTTGGGATGAAAGCTGCGGTTTCTCTCAGCCGGGAGGCCTCTCAACTCTCAACTCTGTTTCCGAAGGAGTCTCGTGTCCTCGGACTTCATGTCCTCCCAGGGCCCGGGGCCTCCAGGCAGCACAGAGCACCGTGGCAGTCTTCGGCGATTCGAGGACTTGTTGGGCTGCAGGTCAAGAATTGACGCGCAAACTTGTATGGGGCTTCATATTGTAGTGACGGGATCCTGCTGACACAAGCCTTCGACTCGATTTTCTGGAAAGTCCTAGAAGTCTAAGACGGAGCGAAGAGAGCCCGACAAGATCCGCTCCTCGCCTCGACTCCGCCCTGTGCTGCGTGAGCGACGTTGCCGCGGGGAGGCGCTGCGCTGCCGCGCCTGCGCGAACCCCCTTGCGCTGCAGTGGGCCCCACGCAATGCGCGTGTCAGAAGGGTGTCTTCCCCTCGCCCTCGCCCTCGGGACCCTTGGCACAACTCGGCACCTTCTGCTTCTTGTAGAGGTACTGACGCCAGCAGCGGACCCACTCGGTGATGGTCTCGTCGCTGGCACGCTCCTGCAGCCGAGGCCAGGGCCCCTGGGCAGAAGAGCCCCGAAGTTGGGTAACAGTTCGTAACATTTCGTAAAACACACTCATCTATTATAAGTTCTAGAAGCCAGGGCCAAGTCTCGGTGCGACGCTCCGGGCGCTCGCGCCGCTCCTCAATGACCTGGCACTCGAGCTGGGCGCCCTCACGCTCCAGATATCTCCGTGGCTTCGCATCCGCTTGGGGAACCAAACCTTCTAAACCCCGTAAACACACCATCGATGGCCCGGGAGTCGGTGAGTGGCCCAGGCTTTTTGAGAAGCTGCTCTACCTTCCATACAACAGGTACGGTATGACATCACCGGTGTTTTGTTTTAGGAAAAGCTGCTCTCGGTTCAACAGTTGTTCTTTTGGAGTCCCCTCGATTCCGGGATCCACCGCGGCTCTTGGCTCCGGCATCGCTGCGGCTTTGTATCCGCTCTTCCGCTGAGCTGGGCGTGGGGTGGTCGGTAGCCAGGCATCGCTGCAGAATTCTGCGGCTCTTCAGATCGGTTTTAGCACAAGCCAGTGCCAGAGGTTCCTTGGTGGCCGGGGCTTTCGAACTCGACCCGAACACCGCAGCACAGATGTGCGGCAATGGCCTCGGTATGAGCCGTAATGGCCTCGGCTTCGGCGGCACCTGATGGGGCAAGGGCTTGTTTTTCCGAAATCATCGAAAGCAGGGGAAGAGTCGGATCGGGCAAGCTGCAGCCCTCTCAAAGCACAACTGTCCTTCCACAGTTCCTGAGCCATCTCAGCCTTTCCTCGGGGCCCCATCAACCTTTACAGAGCTGACGCCACCTGACACATGCGGTAGCGCAGCGGAGCGCAAGCCCACGGAAGTGGGGGGGCCGGGCTGGGCCTTGAGCGCTTACGCCGCGCTCCTTGTCGAGATGCTCGGTCAGCTCCTGGACTGGGAGCACACTCCTCGACCCTCCCGCCCGAGCGCGGGGCCGAGGGTTTCGAGATGTTTCGAGCTCACAGCTCAAGGCAGCAAGCAGAAGGAAGTTTGAAGATTCGCGACTTCTGCTCGGGTCACCAAACCGGAGCCCCGGCCTTCACAGTGGGGAGGTCCAACATCAGCGTCGCCGGCAGTGTCCGGCCAAGAGCGCGCCCTAGCCTGCAGCCGGAGCCCACGCAATCAAAGCTTGAGGCCTTGCACGGCATACCACCGTGGTGCAAGAGCTTCGGACACACAGGCACACAGGAAGGAGCGATACAGTGTGGTGTTGGACCGTGTGCTGAAGACATGTCCTTGCCTGGAATCAAGGGCCAGTCTAGCAGACGGAGATCGAATGTCCTTAATTCCTGCTAGGGAACCGAAACCTCACGAACTGAAAGAGCGTCGTGCCTGTTTTGGATGACGCCCATGTCGAAGGAATCCAGTCCACTGGAGAAGAATCCCTGGTCCAGGTTGTCCATGTCGACTTCCTGAGCGCCCCGACACGAGAAAAAAAAAACACCTGGAGCTCCCCGAGCCCTGAGGCGCTCAAGCCCTGAACACCCGGATTCTTCAAGTTCTTTCCAGTGAGATCCAGTGAGACCCAGTGAAACAGCCGACGACACGGAAAAGCCCCCCTTCCATGCATCCTCAGCCTCGAGTCTTGAATTCTGAAGATTCTGAAACTGAAGCACGTCAGGGGGTCACCTTCAACAGAAAGTCTAGTTCAGGCAGCCCGCAGAGAGTCCTCCGTCTTCGGGCCAAGGCGCGTAGCCCATCTCTGTCATGATGGAAGACAGAATTTCCAGTGAGGCCACTTGCGGCTCCTCCTCTGAGCATCTTCCGACAGGTTTGGCTCCAAAGGATGTCTCAGTCCCAAGGAAGGGAAGGCGCCTTCCTCTTCACCACCTCCTGCTTGGCCTCCGGAGCCTTCGGCTCGATGCTGAGCGCCGGCTCGAAGGCCCAGTCCTTCGGCCTCGGGAACGACAGAAAGACGAGCTCGTTTCAAACTGAGAGCGTTGGTCTTTTTTGTTTCTGTCATTTCCTGGAAGGCGTTTTTCCACAGACCCCAGAGATCCTGAGCTGGAGACTTGTACTGAATGAGAACTCCAGTAGCTCCGTTTTCGAAGTCCTGGCAGACTCGGGAGCCCGCCCCAACCCTGAACTTCGCAGCTCGGGAATGGCGGGGCTTGAAGGAATCAAGAGCTGCAAGAATGCGGAGCACCCAAGACCTCTACGGACCCGTAGCCCTGATTGGTCAAAACACTCTGACAACATTCACCTGAATTCCAAACACTTGCTCTGTTTCGCTTCGCACCACGCGAGGCTCGGGAAGTTTTGGTGCGTCTGTCCAGAAGCTCTCTGCACAGAATTAGCGTTCGCACGATCGTCAATGAAAAAGGACGGCCGCCAACGCAAACAAGCAACAGGCACCAGCCGACACTTCTACCTCGCCTGAATCGTTTGCTGACCACCCAAACGTGTGTTTGCAAACAGTTCATCGGCGGTGCAACGAGGTCTGTTTCTGATACTGCTGCGACGGTATACAAGATGCCACGCTGACATGCCTCACGTCACACGACCGAACCTTTCGGCTGAGGCGCAACAGCCACTCTGTCGCATGCTGTTAAGTTGCTGCAAAGCTTACCTCCGCCCATCTGGAATGGTTGCTAACCGGTGACCGACAAGCCTCAAACTTCAAGAGTCCACCAACCGCCCCCAATTTCACGCTAAGCTCCACCTCCTTCCCGAAGCCCCACAGAGCCTTGATGACCTGCCTGTAGAAGCAGACACTGATTCGCATGCGCTGGTACATTCTCTCCATCAGAGAGAGAGAGAGAGAGTGAGA